GGGAGGAGGTTGGCTGGGGAGGATCAGGGAAGGTTGCCAGGAGGAGGCGGACTTTGAGGAATGTGTGTGTATTGAGTATGCCCAGATGCATGGAGAAGCTTTCTTGGCAGTGGAGACCATACATGCAAAGGTATGGAGGCAGACGCTTGCAATATGTATCCAGGAAGCAGAGCCTGATGGCAGATGAGATTAGCCAGATCTTTTGGAGTCAGACCCAAAAGGTTTCACCTCCTTGTTGCATGGTTACTGGGAAGCCATTACAGGTACCTGAGCTGTGGAGGGACACAGTGGGATCTGGTTTTAGGAAGACAGGTCAGGCAACCATGTACAGGGTGAATTGGAAGAAAAGGGAGGGGCTCCCAGAGGTAGGAAGATACCCAGGCAGGTGCACACCCAGGTCAGGGGTGGTGATGACCTACCTCAGCAGTAGACACAGGTCGGTCCCATGTGACTCTTTTCCTTTAAGTTGGGCCAAGGGTTGGCAAATTGCAATCTCAAGACCAGACTGCCCTGCAGGGTGCGGACAGGCCAGAAATGCAGGAGTGCCACAGGCCACCACGACCCCAGAGGACTTTGTGTAGGAGCGGCCCAGGGCCAGTTGGAGGGAAGGAGGACCACACTTCTATTTACTTAAGCTCACATGGACCCAACATCTTGGGTACTTTCTGTCCACTGCCTCCACTTAACCCTCCCTGCAGCCTTAGGAGGCAGGTCCTGCTGTCATCCCATTTGCAGATGAGGCACATGAGGCTCAGAGAGGTACAAAGCTAGTATGTGATGGAGCCGTTTTGAACCTACGTCTCCCTGGTTAGAGCAAGGTTTCAAGATGAGCTAAGGGACCACAGAAATAACCAAGGAGCTGATTTTTTAAGTACTTGCTCTGTGCCAGGCACATACAAATGTCCGTATCAGGTGTATATGATGCATTTATCCAGGCTCAGGAAGCTGCAGTGTGTCCCCAGTACCCTAACCCAGTGGTCTAACTTCACTTACAGATGAGAACTTTGACACTTCGAACAGATGTGTTGCTGGCCTGAACTGAGATCTGAACCCAGAGCTATGTTCTTTTAAGACCCTCACTCCCTCCTGCCCTGGCAGGGAGGGGATGAGGAGGGGGTCCTTTGTGAGCAGCAAGTGTTCAGAGCTGGAGCTGGGGGAGTGAGCCATCCTGGGCCCACCCCAGGCTTAGGCCCAGTCCAACCTGGCTGCCTGACTTTTGTGCCCTGCTGGTTCTTTGCACATAAATCATGGGACTCCTTACTGAGTGGACATGTGTCTTTCCCCCACGGGAAGCTGCCCAGGCTGCCACAGGTACAGATAGAGTTGAACTCAGGATAGGGCCTTCTTTCCTGCCCAGCCTGGCCGCTGAGTGACTCTGGCCTGGAATGAAAGGCTTTCCAATAAGTGCCTTGCTGGCCCACAGCCCAGCTGTGTGGTAGGTGGGTGTGAGGGTGAGAGCTCTACCAAGAGAAGGATTCAGGAACCTGAGAGCAGGGGCAGAATCTTGCCAACAAATTTCTTAGCAAGCTGCCTTCTCAGCTGGTGCCTCTGGAGGGTTTGGGAATGAGAGCTGGTCACGAGGAGCCCTGGCCGCCTTCCTGGCCCAAGGGTCGGAGCCTTGGCTCAGGCTCAGGCTCAGCCCAGGGGAAGCAGGTCCCATGGGGTGAAAACACCAGGCAGCCCAGGGCAAGAATCAGAAATCAGATATTCTAGGCCACCTCTCCCTTGACCTTGCAGAATGCACAGCACACAGTGTGGGTTTCTCTCCAAGCCTCCCCTGCTCACAGCAGCCTCCTGCCCCTGCAAGGGTGGGGCAGGGTCAGCAGTCAGATCTGATACTGTTTTCACAGGGAGCTGAAAGGCATCCTTGTCATGAAAAACACATCACACTTGAGGGGGGCTGGGGCTCCACTGCGCCCTTTGTCTAAAGTCTCGTCTTGGGCCATCCCAGCCCTGCTCTGTGGCCCTCATCTATGACGTGAAGGGCTTGGGCAGCAGGATCTCGAAAACCCCTTCAGGCCCTTAAAAAATCAGCCTAAGGCTCTGTGACCTGGGCGTGTCTCGGACTGTCCATGTGTGTCTCATCAGTGTCCGTGACCACCTCAGGAGGGCCGAGAGTTCCCAGGAACCATGTTTAGCCTTTGACACCTACAGGGGAAGCAACTGGGATAAACCAGGAAAGGCTCGACTTTGTTTGGCTTTGGGTATGTTTTCCTACAAAATCCTTCAGTATAGGAGGGGTTGACATTCTAGAAATTCAGCCCAAAGCCCTCCCAAGTGACCCCGGATTGGAAAGCCCCTCTCTTCCCCAGCCCTCCCTTCCTTCTGCTCTTCCTTGCAAATCCTCCCTTCTGGAAATGGATTCTTTAACCTCCAGCCTTATCTGTCTCCCAACTTCTCCCTGATCTCCCTCTGGACATTTTCCAGGCGATGCCCTTTACCACCTGCCTCGGGAGGTGGTTAAGTGTTTGAGTTTCAGAAGGATTCTCTGCCTGCAAAGTCAACACAAGTGAGTAGTTAGGGAAGCACTAACTACGGAGATTAGATGCTAACTGAATGCAGAAGTGCCCACAAAGATGTCTGGAGATTCAAGTGGGGCTCAGCGCTGTCAGCGAGCTCTGGAATTCCACTGGGAAGGCCGAGCCTGCTATTCTCAGTGCTTTGAGCCCCTTGCAAGGAGGACATTGAAGGAACAATTACTTCTCATAAGCTACCCTCTGGTCCCTAAAGGAAATTGCTGCCTTCTGCAATGACTATAGTAGTAAGGAGTTGATGGGAGGCAGCAGCCACCTCTTCCAGGAAACCCTCCAGAAGACACCAGGTCATCCCTTTTACCCTCCCTTCCTCCGTCACAGTCCTCTACTCTTCAGTCTCTGGTTGTGCCACATGGGGAGGTCTTCCTCATCACTCTTCTCTCTAGTTTGTGGTGTGGAAAATTCATTTTTGCACAATTTTCTCAGCATTTATTCCCAGGACAAGATCAAAGTCCTGATGGCAAGGGTCAGGCCTCATAGCTCATGCGTGTGTACTCACTGCCCAGAGCAAGCATCACTATGAAAATCTTTGGTTTGTGCATTTGTGTGGTTTCTTTAGCCAAACTTTCTTTCCTTTTTTTTAATGGAAATAAATTTCTCATTATAAAAATAATTCATGATTGAAGAAATCAGAAAGCCTGTAATGCCAGCGCTGGGACTGACCACAGAATCATGTCCTGCCAGACAGTTCTGTGCAGACACATCCACATTTGACATACAATAAAAATATTATACTGCACTTTTAATTTGCTTATACAATCTACTTTTTAAAAATGTTTTTATTAATTTTTTTTAGAGAGAGAGAGAAGCATTGATGTGAGAGAGAAAAACACCAATTGGTTGCCTCCCTTACATGCCCCAACAAGGGACTGAACCCACAATCTACGCATGTGCCCTGACCTGAAATCGAACCTTTCGGTGTACGGGACAATGCTCCAACCAGCTGAGCCACACTAGCCAGGGCAAATACCTCTTTTATATTTGAGCCACAATTTATATAACTAATCCCATATTGTTGGACCTGGGATTTTCCCCCCATTATATATGACACTGCAATAAATACCTTCCTAAGTATATATTTATGAAGATCTTTATATTTTTTCTTAGATGGAATTGGAGAGCCAGAGGACTGGCATGTTTGTTAAGACTGTGTAAACAAATGTCAGTTCATCCCTACCCCTGCGTCACAGAGTGGTAGGTGCCCGACTGGCACTGATGGTGGACTTGCTGGCTCCTATCAGTGGCCTCAGGTCTAGGAAGTGGCTCAGCCCATGAACTCGGTCTCCCCGCCTGCTGCCTACCCTTTACTGCCCTGAGGAGGAGCAGCCCCTGGGGGACACTGGGTCCTGGGCTTGCCTTCCAAGGATGGTGGTACTGGGTTCTCCCTGGATTGTTCCTGAGCTGGCCTTGGCGACTGCCAGGCATTTAGAGGAGCCTGGGGAATGGTGGCTTGTGTGGCTGGATGGGAAGGGTAAGAATGACCCTGGGTCACGCCTTCGATCTTCTGTGCTGCAGGAGGCCTCAGCGGGGCAACAGTCATTGACTCCCTTGATACCCTCTACCTCATGGAGCTGAAGGAGGAGTTCCAGGAGGCCAAGACCTGGGTTGAAGAGAACTTCCACCTGAATGTGGTGAGTCAGAGCCCTTGGGGTGTTAGGGCCAGAAGCAGCTGGAGAAGTCATGGCTCCACCTTGTCATCTCTGAGACCCAGAGGTGTGGAGGCTCTGGCCCCAGGCTGCCTGCAGAGCAGTCCAGCTATGACCCTGCCTTCCCCTCCCTGGGGCTCCAGGCATGTTGCTCACACCCAGGAAGACCCTTCTAGGGCTGCATCTGTCACAACAGCAATAGGGGAAGTGACTGTGGAGAAGTGACTAATCTGCTCAGAGCGGCTCCTACCTGCCCCCCCCCGCCCCCCGCCCCCCACACCCTGCGGCCCTCCTGAGCTAGCTGAGAGGCCCATGACCTGGTCTGAACCCTCTTGGTTTCCAGCCTCGCAGGTATCCCTGGTCAGGGACCAGAACCTTGGGGAGGAGATGGTAATGTGTCTGGATGGCACAAAACCCTTAAATATCAGACTCCACCCCCACTGATCTCCCAGCCCAGACTAAAGTAACCGACCCATCCTGGAGGCCTCTGCTCAGCATGGGGAGAGGCTGCTTAGATGGATTTGGGGAGCAAGAAATTACGGCAGATAGGAGGGGGGACCCGTCAGGCTCCACGAGTGAGGGGTCCTGGGGGGAATGGGGACAGCCCCTGCAGCTTATGGCAGAAGTGAGGCCAGTATCAGCAGAGATACCAACAGGAGAGTCTGGGAGGGCAACGCTGCAGGGGTACTTCCCTGGCTCAGCAGGTGCCTCGGGGAGGCCAGCCTCCCTGGGCCTTCGTTTCCCCACTTTAAGACGGAAATGACACAACAGCAACAGTAATGATGCCCGGCGTGCAGGCTCGCGAGCTTTAACTATCATGGAGGTTGTAAAAAGCATTTTATAGCCATAAAGTCCAACACAGATGTAAGTGGTGCCGTTATCATCATCACCATCATGATTATTTTGAGGCTTGTTATGACTTCCGATGGTCTGTGTGAGGTGAGGAGTTTAGAATCCCATTTCCTACTGCATCGAATGGAAGAAAGGCAGAGGTAGAGGAGGGAGGTGTCTTCATAGACCCACCTTGTTCTCCGCAGATGGTGGGTAGAGAGTGAGCATCAGGCAGCTGCCCGAAGAGCCAGATGGGGACATTCGGGCAGGCTGGGCAGGTGAGGGGGTTTCCCTGGAAGAAAGCAAGACATGGTCACTGCCCCTCTCTGAGCCTTGGCTTTCTCATCTGAAAAATGGGAGTGATGGCATCACCATGCATTGTGAGGCTAAAGGAGAGCATGGCTTTGCAAGTGCTCCGTCAAGGGGAAAGCTCTCCCAGATAAAGGGATGATCACTGTTCTTGTCAGTAATAAAAGGCCATGACATGGGAAGTGCACCAAGGAGAGCCCTGGGGGAGGGGAGGCAACAGCGGGCACCTTTCTGAAGCCACTCCTGGCACTGGGCGGCACCATACCTGCACCACTCAGCCTCTCCCCTCTGCCCTGCTCAGGACGAAGGCACCGGGAAAGGAAAGGCTGAACATCTTGTTCAAAGTCCCAAAGCCAAGGAAGTGGCTCAGGCAGATTTTCACCCAGATCTGGTCCTTGGCATGATGCCCAACACCCCTGATTTACAGACAACATTTCAGAGAGAAAATAACAATGATTCTGGAAGCTTGGGCGTGCCCCAAGAGCTCCAGCTCCAGCAGAGAAATTGCTGTTTACCTACAAGCATCTGCTTGGCGCACCTCCCTCTGTCTCAGCCCTGCCCCGTCTGCCCCAGAACCTCCTCTGAGACCCCTCCTCTTGCCCTGCCACCTCAAGGAAGGGTCACACCATCTTCCTGCTAAGCCAAGGCTGCCGGGCGGGCGGGCTAGAGGAAGATTGCCTCCCCTCAGGCTAAACTACAGCCAGCAGCTCGCCATGTGGGTTCTTAAGCTCCTTGGAGAGCAGCCAGGCAGAACTTTGCTCTGATGGCCTCGGGCAAGGGCTGGGGAAGGAAGCCAAACCCGGTGTTTATTTGGGATGTTGTAAATGTGCAGTGGCCGCCCTGTAGGTGCCTTTGTTCTCAAAACCACCACCACTGCATCTGGAACCGGCCCAGGTGCAGCCAGATCAGCAGGGGGATGGGGCGTAGTGGAGTGTGACTGGTCTCAAGGGCCTGGCTGCCCCTGAGAGCCCAGCAGGCATCTCACAAGTGTCCCCACTGCCCTGCCCCTTCTTTCTGCCCTGCAGAGTGGAGAAGCATCTTTGTTTGAGGTCAACATCCGGTACATCGGAGGACTCCTCTCGGCCTTCTACCTGACAGGAGAGGATGTAAGTTGGTGCTTCCAGGCACCTGGACCATCCAGGCTGGAAAGGGCTTGGGAGAACATCCATCCCCTCCCCTCACTTCCCCACTCAGGAAACAAGGATCCAAGAGGAGTTGCCCAGGGCTACCCATGCCCCCCACCTCCGTGATGCCACCTGCAACCTCTTCTGTCTGGTGCTTCTATTCTACCCCGATGGTAATAAATTCTCTAAGGGCGATGACTAGGTCTGCTCACCATCCGTGCAGCTCCTTGCAGGGTGTGCAGCAGTACCTGGGCTCAGTGTGGGCTTGCAGAGTACTGGGCTGGTTATTGCAGGTGCTCATTCTCAGGATTGATGGAGCCAAGACCATTGTTTCGCCATTTCTACCCAGGGGCCCCTAGGTCTTGCTCTATACTCCACAACCACCCCTTGCCTTTCTTTCTGGGCCAGACACCAGCTCCAGGTCTCGGGGGCCGTAGGGGAAATGGAGCAGCCACATGTAAATACCAGGTGCACTGCGCTGCCTTCCAGAAGGCCGTGGGCACAGTCAGACGCTAGTACCCCCCCTCCCCCACCACCCCTGCCTGTGGCCTGGGCACAGTCAGACGCCAGTACCTCCTCCCCTCCCCTACCTGTGACCTTCAGCAAGTCCCTTTTCCCTTCCCTGGGCCTCACCTCCTTCCCCACCACGGGGATGGCCCTAAAACGCCCCCTGGAGGCAACAAGTCTTGTGAATGGGGCTGGTCCTTTGACCTGGGCTCTTTCCTTTCCTCACACTTTCCCCTCTCTGTCCACTCAGACATGAGTAATTAACCCTGTGGGGGGCCTTGGAGGTGAGGTCAGCCAAGTCCCACTTCACCTCTACAGATAGCTCTTGTCTGAGAGCCAGTTCCCCTTCACTTCATTTAAGGCACACGGGCTGAAGCCGAGAATTTAGAGGCGGCGGGCATGCGCTTTATCTCTCCAGTAGCTTTAGGCCTCTCTCCATCAAACATAATCTCCTCAGCGGAGATTACCGCTTGTACCAATTTGTCCCCAAATAATCGTAGATGGGAGCCCTGGGCTTGGAGCCACCCAAGGCCTGAATTTCATTTGAAAACCCCAGGACAGGAAATGACACATGGAGCAGAAAAAAGCATTCATGTTCTTCACGGGCCCTTGCCCACCTCTCGTCTAGGTTGTGGGAGGAGGAGGTGGGTGCAGGAAGGGGAGGCAGTGATTCAGGGGGCTCCCAGGGGCTGGTGTGGGGGCCAGCGGCTCAGGATGGAGCTGGTGCTCCCCAGACCTGCTGTCCCTCCCTCCCTGCTCTGAGGTGTCTGGGATTCTGAGAACTTGTTCTGAGGCCTCGGCTCCCTGGAAGGGACTGTCAGCCTGTCTTTCCAGGATGCAGACCAGACAGTGGGATGTGGCTAGGAGCACCTGTGACTTAGAAATAGTTTAAAAGGCCAAGGAGAAGCCACGTGGCTCCCAGTCCCTGAGCAGGCAGGCTCCTGCCTCCAGCCGCGCCTTCCTAGTCCCCCCTGTCCCCAGCACCTCCACACAGCAGCGATGGGGCGTGTGCACCGTGTCCTCGTTCCTCAAACAGCCCATGGGGTGATGTCTTCACCGACTCGCAGGTGCAGGATCTGAGACTTAGAAGTCACTTGCTCAGGTCACAGGGTCTGAGGCTATTTTGGGTCAACTTATGACCCTGTGACCTCTCTGCCATGGGCCCTCGTTCAGCCTGGCCCAGGGTCACCCTCCTCTCAGTCCTTAATTTCCCACACAGAAGTGCCTGTGGAGTGAGGTTTTCTTAAAATCCCCCATGAGTATTTGTGGAATGGATGGTGAAAGAGACCTCACCCACCCCCTCCTGGGCTGAGGCCTTTCTTTGCTTGAGGGAACCTGTGGGAGAAGAGGCCCCTGCTGGGTAGCCAGCCCTACAGACACTCCCACGGGAACCACAAGCACAGCCACAGCCACACCAGGTGGCACTGACATAGCGCTTTACAGTTTATATAGCACATTCACTATAACATCCTCTTATTTGATGTCTAGAAGGACCCTGTGAGCTGGAGTAGCAATACTTATATCTGATAAAATAGACCTCAAAGTAAAGGCCATAACAAGAGATAATGAAGGCCACTTCATAACACTAAAGGGATGGATACAAAAAGAGTATATAACTCTGGTAAACATATATGCACCCAATACAGGAGCATCCAAATACATAAAAAAACTTCTGGGCAATATCAAGGGAGAGAGCGACAGCAATACAATCATAGTAGGGGACTTTAATACCCTATTGACATCATTGGATAAATCTTCTAGACAAAAAAATCAACAAGGAAACAACAATCCTAAAGGACTCACTAGATCAGATGGAACTGACATCTTCAGAACATTTCACCCCAAAGCTACAGAATATACATTCTTCTCAAGTGCACATGGGCCATTTTCAAAGTTAGACCACATGTTAGGACATAGGCTAAGTCTCTACAAATTCAAGAAGGTTGAAATCATATCAAGCATCTTCTCAGATCACAATGGCATGAAATTAGAAATCAACTATAATAAAAAGTCAAAACAATAGAAGGACCCTGTGAAGCAGCCAGGGCCGTCACCATTCCATTGTGCAGATGAGGCTCAGAGACAGTGCATGGCTTACCCACAGTCACATGCCTGCTCAGTGACTCCCAGAACAGTGCCCATTTCACTCTACAGAATATAATTTGTGCTGGTTTCTTCCATCTCTGTCTGGAGCCTGTAAGCCACTGCCCATTGCTTACATGGCTGCCTGAGGCCTTTCTGTGTTGGAAAGACAGCTTGGTGTCCTGGAAAAGAGTCACTTCATAGCTCCTCATCTTGGGCAAATTGCTTTGCTGAGACTCAGTTTAGTCCTTCTCCAAGTGGGTCAACACCTTGCCCACGGCTGCTGCAAGGGATGAAGGCCCTGGAGATGAGACACCTGGCAGACTGTGATGTTGTGACTTATAAGAAATAGGTATTTGGTCTTCATCCTGTTTCTGGCACAGAGTTCCTAAAACCATAGGCATTTCCTAAGCGGTGACAATGATAAAAGTGCCTTTTGTTATGTTATTGAGGTGACTTTTGGCCCCAACTAGGATGGAAGCTGGTTGCCAGGAGTAACAGTCATGTGATTAGAAAGTTGGAGCTTTCAGGCCTTCAAGGAGGGGAGAGGGGCTAGGATGAATCAGTAGCCAGTGGCCAGTGGTTCCCTCAGTCGTGCCTGTGTCATGAAGTCTCCATGAACACCCAAAGCACTGGGTTCAGCAAGCTTCTGGTTGTGAGCAGGTGGGGAGCTGGGGAAAGTGGTACTCAGAGCACAGAGGCTCCGTGCCCTTCCCCATTTCTTGCCCTATGTACCTCTTCCATCTGGCTGTTCCTGAGTTATATCCTTTTATAATAAACTGGCACAGTAAGTAACATGTTTCTCTGAGTTCTGTGAGCCGCTCTAGAAAAATAATCAAACCCAAGGTGGGGTTCCTGGGTAACACCTGCTCTTCGTTGGCAGCTGAAGAATGGGGCGGGCGGTCTTGTAGGCCTGAACCCTTAACATATGGAACCTGATGCTCTCTCCATTGTGGACAGTGTCAGAGTTGAGTTGAATTCTTAGACATGGAGCCACTGTCTGGAGACTTGCTTGGTGGTGTGGGGGGACTTCCACACACACATGGAAATTGGGTTCTGAACCCCTTACACGCCCACTCACTTCCAAGATGACAAGGAGGAAAGTGGCCCCACTCTCTCACACACACTCATTCAGCATCCTCCCAGGGAGTGGAGACCTGCACTGCCAGCCGCAGCAAGACCTTCCGAAGGAGAAGACAGGGTTTGCTGGCTGAGGGGAGCGTCTAAGAGGAGTGAGCGCGGAGTCCTGCGGGCACAGGGCAGCAGACAGCAGCCTGGAGCCTGAGCCTTGGGCTCCGGCTCGGTGGGTCCCTGTGTGTCTCTGGCTCAGCCCCCTCAAGAGCCTCACAGGAGAGCTCCTAGTTGTTGCTAAGCCAGTGGGTCCTATAGTGACAGGAGACTGAAACCTGGATTCTAGACAAGCTCCCAGAAATTCTGACAGAGGTGTTCCCGTGCCCACTTCTAGGACCTACTGTCTGGCACTGACATTAGCATCTTCTCTTGCCCGGCACTGCCAGGCCTCATGGAGGCTGGTTGCCAGGAGTAACAGTTCTTTCCTCCGGCTCCTTCCTCCTACTCCCCTCCTTCACCCCTCCCTCCCCCTTCCTAAGCAAGCACCACACCCACCACTCGGCTCTGAGGCCTCTCACGCAATTCCCACTCAGTCCCTAAACAGCCGACTCAGCATTAGTGAACTGTGTGTGTTGGGGTTGGGGACCTCAAGATGACTTTGTTTCGCAATGACACGCAGGAGGTCAGCGACCTGGGCCACCCTCGAGCAGCAGAAGTAAAAGGGAACGTGTTGTCCCACTGGGAGCGGTTGCTTAGGGACTTGCATCTCATCTTTTAAAAGATACATGACGTTTAATGTGGGTTTGTTTTATGATAAAATGGCACAGAAAATAGCTAAGCCACAAGAAGGAGATAAATGTCCTCCGTGAGCCTACCCCTCCCAGGAGACACTTGCCAATATTCTAGTGCATTCCATCCTTTCC